AGGAAAGTGCACCTGTGGCCTGGCCACAGGGGTCCTAAAAGTCCACTCTCCTACCACACCTGGGCCTGTGGGTGCTCAGAAATCAGAGAATTCCACTCGTGCTTGCAAGGCTCAAAATATCGAGACTACCGAGGAATACACTGCAATATCCACATTGCAGAATGTGTTTTCTTTTCTCAACAGAAGGAAAGAAAAAGAAAATGGAAAAGCCCCATTAGTCCCTCCTTGTATGGGACGCGCGAATATAACAATAAAGATTCAGCCATAAAGAGAGCCCTGAATACACCTCCAGAGTAGCCAGTTCTGGGTCTTTGAAGGTGGTAAAGGGAGAGAAGTATTTTGTTAAAATACTAATTTAAAATACAAATCAACATTTATTATGCCCTTCATTATGTTTTAAAATTGCACAACTATAAATCACTGAGCTGTGGGTTATTCAAGGGCAAAGTTACCCGGCTTGACTCTGTGGAAGGTTAGGAGAATGCTATGTTGTGCTTTCTCTACTTGTAATTTATAACCTTGCAACAGGGCCCCATGTTGCAGGCCCATCCATTAGCTGGATAGCCACACATCTGCTAAGACAGGCTACAATGGCTGCCTTTTCACGGCCACAGGAAGAGAAACCCAATCCTTTCAGAACATCTACAGACTCAATCCATTTTTTTAAAAAAATGTGAAGTGATTTGAAAACACAGTTCCCTAAAACATCTGCTAAGCTCTTGTTACCCTAACACATGATATTCTTTCCTACTGTTACCTGCCAACACAAATATTTGGTTGCTCCAAACACCCTTAGAGGCACGTGACTGTGCTCAACTTGAAATTTACATGCTGATCTGCCTAGGGCCTGCTTGGCCCTGGGACCTCTGGCGAGAATGTTGTTTACCAGAGTTTAAAACTTAGGTGGAAAAAAAAAAGAAGGAAGGGGGTCAAGAAGGTGCTGTCAAATGTTTTAAAGCGGAAACGTAACAACACAATCAAATACATATGGCAGCGGCACTGTGGTGTGTTTGACCAAGGAAATGGAGCAGGGAGGAGTTGGCGAAGGTTCGGGAGCTACAGTGGCATTTTCTTGAGCAGGCTGGGTAAGCTCTCTGTGCTTGTTTGGGGTCAGACAGAGGTCGTTCTGACCCTGCAGAAGGGTCGTGTGGGAAAAATGAACATGCAGATGCCAACATTGTGATGTCAGGTGGGAGCCACCAAACTGCCCATTCATTAACTGAGAGTATAGCGAGGACCACAAAGCCCTCAGATGGGGTAGCACACGTCAAAAGCAAAGTCACCCTAGGAAATCTTATGCCATTACATAACAGCACAGATCAGGTTATGTGAATTATGATGTCATGAATTAATATGCACACGTAAGGATATTCTGTATGCAGACATAAAGTACACACACACACACACACACACACAAGACACAGCTTAGAGACAGAGAAGCTGACGTGAGGTACCCATGTGATGTGACGTCATCATGAGAACACTCTCAACAAACTTTGGTTTCCTTTAAGACATTTCAGGGAGTGCTACTGGAAAAATAGAATCTTGGTTTAAACATTTAAAACAGCATATTTCCATTGTACCTTCTTTTTATTTTATCATAAATTGAAGGAGGAATAAGAACCCCTTTCCTAGAAGACCCTGGACATCTGTCCTGTGGCCCTCAAGAGAAAGAGGGCAGCAGAGATGTGGGCTTGCCAGTAGGGGGCGCTATGCTGAGAATTAGTCCCTGTGAGTTTCTCATTAGTGATTATTATACTGCAGGAGGCCCAAACGCAAAAATTAATTAATTTCAAAGTGATAATGCATTTACAGCAACAATTAGAAACATATAACTGTAAAAGGGCAACATTTAAAAGACATATTACATTTAATAAAGTTGCACAAGAGCATCCAATTGTAAAATTACTGATCTGCAACAATAGTCCTTAAAGAGCCACTTAAAATAGCCTGACTCCATGAAGGGTGACCTAATTACGGTAACTAAAATCACCATAGTCACAGCGAGTCACAGCAAATAAAGAAGGGACGTTGATATTAAAACACTGCTGTTTAATGCTTGCGGGAGCTGGCTGCAGCGGAGAAGGGGAGGCTGGGCTTCCGAGAGCCTGGCAGAGTGGTTTTTTTCTCCCTGGGCCTCACACAATGGAGAGCATACTCAAGCTATGCCCATGTTGCAGTGGAAAAACGCTTCCGGTAAAGCAGAATGGAGAGCAGACTTGTTGTTGATGCACAAATGGAGCCCTAGCTGGGTTGTCACAGGGTGCTAAGCTGCTTGGCTCATTCAGGAATCCTCCCTGTATGTGGGGTGGGAACTCTGTGTTTCAATACACAGCTCCTTGAAAGTGGTCAAGTGTATCCGTTGTCCAAGAAATAAATTCCTTATCCCAATGGAAGCAACAAGAGGTATGGGAGGAAGATGGCCTGAGAGAGTGACCCAGGCAGTCGGTCAGATCTGTCCTGCTGGGGACAGACCATCCCTGCTCTACCCACTCCTGCTGCTGCCTCCTTTTCTTGCAGCAGATCCTAAATATTTGCAGTGGAGCAGAGACTGATGAGTATGACCAGCAAGTGCTGCATCCTCCTCTCTCCTCCCAAGCTCCCTCCTTTCAACTCCCTCCTCCCTCTTCCCAGCTTCCCTCCTCCAGAGCTCCCTCTTCTTGCCTCTCTCTTCCTGAGCTCCCTCCTCCTTCATCCTAAGCTCCTCTTCCTGAGATCACTCCTCCCTCCTCCTACCTCTCTTCCTGAGCTCCCTCCTCCCTCAGCTCCCTCCTCCCTCTTCTTGAGCTCCATCTTCCCTCCTGAGGAACTCATCAATAGGTAACTCAATGCCAAAGTACCAGCAGTCACCTAGGCAGGTTACACAGAAAACCTAAATGTGGCTACCTGTTCCATGGTCTTGTTAATTTCTTCCCTTAGGCTTATAATTCTGGCACTCAGAAGCAGGAGGTAGAAAGACTTCCATGAGTTTGAGGCCAGCTTGGGCTATATAATACAGCCAGGGCTACACAGGGAGATCATGTCTCAAAGTAACTATACACGCACACAAAGAAAAGAAGTCTATGGTAACAGCTAAAGTACATTTATGAGCTATCAGTGGTGCTGTTTCCTAATCAATTAGAAAGAGGAGAATGGAAAGTCCCAGCCACTGTGACTTCCTTGAGACCACATAGGTAGGTGTGATGCTACCACCCCAGGTTCTCCTATGCAGTCATCCTGTCTTGCCAGTGATCTTACTCCTGGACTGTTCCAGAGAAGGACAGAGCCATCAACCTCTCCCTATGCCCACTACCATAATCCCTATTTGTCTTAAGTAAAATTACTATATAATTATCTGATTTGTTATAATTTTTAGCTCCATGACTCTTGTTGTGTTTATCATTCACAACTGAGGTATAGAGAAGAACTTTCTAGACACGGATAATGCTCACAGGATCAAGAATAGTGAGATCATGAAGTATTATGGAACAGGTGTTGCACACAGCATGTTGCATATAATATGGCCATCATAAGATACATGTGGCTATTTAAACTAAAATGAAATAAAATTCAGAATTTCCTCAATTGTGCTGCCCATGTCAAGGTCTCAATTGCTACAAGTGGCCCATGGACAGATGATGAGCACCAGTCACAAATCCTATGTCTATGATTTGAGGAATAATACTCATTCTTGTAAGTCCTCAGGGCATCTCTTTGGAATGTTGGAGGCAGGTGCTTGATGCAACTTTCCTAAGTCATCCTAATGTCCAGAGAACACACTGGATCTTGATCCAGAGGAATGTTAAGGACAGCCAGTTGGTCCACTATGCTAGGCAACTACTTAGCTTCCTTGCCACCACCAGAAGGATAGTTAGTCTAGTCCAAAGGCCCAAGTGTGTGTGTGTGTGTGTGTGTGTGTGTGAAGAATAATTTCTATTATTTAAAAACAACATCAGTAGCTGCACCATGGATATACCAATTCAAAAGAAAATACTTGTATTATTTATCCCATGTGTATAGGTGTGGAACGTGCATATGTGTTATACACATCCATGTATGCACGCATGTAAGTTAGAGGTAGACATTGGATTCTTCCTTTGACACTCCCTATTGTGTTTATAATACATGTATTTAGAGACAGGTTTTCTCACTGCGCTGAGTTACACACGTACAAAGTCACTCCCAGCTTCCACCTGTCCTTTGGGATATGAATCCAGTTCTTAATACTTATGCAGAAAGTGCTTATCCCGCTAAGTCATCTCCCTGGCCCTAAAAGAAACACATTTTTCAAAGCCTGAGGCTTCAAAAAGCACTGACAAAATGTGCTGCATAACACGCACCTTTTTCATTCAAGTCACTTTGGGTTACTTAATTCACGGAAGAGGTTTCTACACACCATTTATAAACAACCGATGAAAATGTAAAATCTTCAGTTTTGTGAACACTTCCGTTCTAACCACAGCAGTGTGATTCACCCAAAGATTTGTCTTCAGGGATACAAAGGATAACCACATTCTGGCCACAAAACCTTCTCCAGGAAGGAGCTACCCTCAGACCTCCATTACGAGGAACATTAAGAATATCTGATACGAAATCTCACTGAACCCAGAAGAACTGCACCTCCTAACACTTGCTAATCCACGTTTTCCACTAACACAAAGCACACACGTCAAGTGCCATATTCTACAAAGCAGACTTTAGAAGTTTGTGAACCCAAACAGAAATCACATGAAGAGGAAACCGGCGACCGTTGCACATCTCACTCCAAACCTCCAAGACGTCCAGGTGTTCTCCACTTAACACTGACAACCAACATCTCTCATCAAAGCTGCCAAAGCTCTGTTAGACCAACAGACACAATCTAAAGGTCATACAGATGTGTTGGAGAGCCTTTGACAATGATACTGTTATACCAGAGCAGACAACAGTAAAACCACAAGTCGACGCACAGGTCTGGGTTAACAGGCCCTTTGGTGAAGCTGTCTGAGGGCTTCTGGGGGTACCAGAAGCCATCCACTTACCATGGACTTGGTGAATGGCCTGGCCAAGGTGAACAGCAACGTGTATACCCATGAGTTTCGATGGATGGATGAGAACATCATGTTTCCAGGGTGCACCGCATTTGATGTGACCCCTCGAGGGGAGAGGCGACGGTGAAGCTCATTGGAGAAGAGGAGATTGCAAAGCTTGGATCTGTTATAAGCCAACATGGCCCAGTAGTCACTCTGAGATGGAGACAGGCGGCTGAGGTCAAGTTTCCCTGAGGAATCATTAATATCTGTGAATCTGAAAAACAGAATGCATGGCATGTAGCACAGAAGACTGAACAAACTGTGGAGATTTGATCTAGCACACCTCACCATCATGCTCCTTAAAAGCAGATGTTTGATCTGAAGAGGAAGCTTAAGCCTATAACCAGGAGTGCAATTAGACCAAAGAAACTCGAGGTCCTCTGTGTCTCAATCAAGCCTCAATTGTAACATTCAGAAAGTTGATGCAGGCAAGACAATCATTCTAAGCTTGAGGCTAGCCTGGACTATAGTGAGTTCTAGACTAAACTGAGTTTTGATGTAAGATCCAATCTCAAAATCAAAACAGAAAATTCTCCTCTCTTTCTCTCTCTCTCTCTCTCTCTCTCTCTCTCTCTCTCTCTCTATCTCTCTCTCTCTCTCTCTCTGTGTGTACGTGTTCATGTGCGCCTCGTCAAGCATGAGTTCAAGGATAATTAAATTGAAACAAGTCTTAGATAAAAGGTGGCTGCATTAGGAAAGCAGTATCACGTTCCTAACCTTTGGCAGGGTTTCCCTAGATTATTTTAGCCAAATGCATGAGTCCTGTATATTTTCATTTGAGCATCCAAGTTAATACAGATGAGCCGTCTTGCCTCCAAGACTCTTTTCCAGATTAAAAATTAATGATCATAAAAGGGTTGTAACCTTGGTGAGGTGCCATAAAAAATCTTCTACATTTAAAAAATAAATAAACAAAGCCCAAAACGAGTTCTGGCCGAGTCTACTGTTTTTGAGTATGCCCGTGGCTTGGGCACACACAAATCAAAGTAACTAGTTGATGCTTTATTATAGAGTCTGGCAGAGCTGTTAAACACCAGCTCTTTGCTTTCTCTATACCTGCCACTTTGTCAAAAAAGGGAGCTATTGCCTTAAAAAATGGATCATAAGAAACAACCTAAAAGAAAGTTCTAGATAGTATCATATTTGTTTAAGGACTCTCCACACTTGGCTTCATTATGTCTACTTTGGGCATTGTATAGTATCCTGGTTAGGCTTACTACTGCTGTGATGGAACTTCATGACGAAAAGCAACTTGAGGAGGAAAGGGTTTATTTGGCTTATGCTTCCACTTCACTGTTCTTCATCACAGGAAGTCAGAACAGGAACTCAAGCACAGCAGAAACCTGAAGGAAGGAGCTGACGCAGAGGCCATGGAGGGGAGTTGCTTACTGGCTTGCTCTAAATGGCTTTCTCAGATTACTTTCTTATAGAATCCAGGACCACCAACCCAGGGATGGCACCACCCACAATGAGTGGGCCCTCCCCCAACCCCATCAATCACTAAGAAAATGCTCTGCAGTTTTGGCTACAACCTGATTTTATGGAGGCATTTTGTCTCTCTCCTATCAGATGACTTTAGCTTATGTCAAGTTGACCTAAAACTATCTAGCACAATTGACTCCTTATCAACTTGACACACAAACACATCACTGTTAAGCCACAACCTTTCCTTTCTGTTTCATCCCCAAGATCTCATATTAAAAAAACATAAATGACTTTAAAAGTCCCATTGTCTTTATAAATTCAAACACTTGAAAATTCCATCTTTTCAAAAGTTCAAAGTCTCTTTTCAAACCCAAAATCTCTTTTAAAATTCAGTCCTTGTTTCAAGAGGGAAGAACCAGGACACAGTCACAATCTGAACAAAGCAAAACCAGGCTCCAACAGTGTAAATAACTCGATGTCCAATATCTGGGGTTCACTCACAGTCTTCTGGCTCCACCCTCTGCAACACACAGTCTGTCTTTTAGGCTCTGGCTGCTGTTCCTGGTGGCCATCCATCGGTACTGGCATCTCCAAAATGCTGGGATCTCCTGCTGCAGTCACCCGCACTTTTACCAACAGCTCCTCCTGGGATCTCTTCATGGTGTCAAGCCACACCACACTTCTCTGAATGACCCCTTAGTCCTGGACCGTCAGCTGCTACTGAGGCATCACCTTCAACAATGGCCTCTTCTGGCTGGTCACAGCTGCCCCCCCCATGCCTTCAAAACCAGTACCACCTGAGTGACTCTGACACTCCTTCAGCTGCCAGCAGGAGTTACGACCTTGGACACATCTGGAACACAGCTTTGTGTTCCCAGAAGATTTCACCCCAGTGATGTCTCTTCCTCATCAGCGTCAATTCCTCGGCTTCAAGCTGACCAGCATCAATTGTCCCCGTAAAGCAAAGTCTTCAAGACAACAGTGTTGGACTCCCATAGACAACAGCTAGTGTATTCAAGTGGTAGAAGTGGACTTGCATGGGAAATTCTGTGTGTGTGTGTGTGTGTGTGTGTGTGTGTGTGTGTGTGTGTGTGTACCTGGATGAGTGTGGCTGTGTTTATGATGAGATGCACATGCCCCTGTGGCTGTGTGACTGTACATTTGTGATGGGGTGATTTTGTCTATGATTGTGTGTGATTATGTGTGACTGGGATGTCTGTCTCTGACTATATGTGGTTTCCTGTGGTTGTATGCGACTGTACGTATAGGCTGTGTTGGGGTATGGTTGTATGTGTGACTATGTGTGGTTGTATGTGGTTGTTTGCATGGCTGTATGTATATGATACTCTAACATGTGAGATTGGGGGGGGTGACTGAGTGTGGGACTCTGTGGCTGGTTGTGTGGGATTGTATGTGCGACTACAGGTGTGTAACTGTATGTGTGTGACTATGTCTTTGATTGTACATATCCGACTGTCACTTCCTAGTGCTGAGGCTGTTTAGAGCTGTACGACCAGCTCTCTGCTCTTTCCATTCTGTTTTAATTGTTATCTGAAAAATTTTCACAGTATGGAAGCCAACTTCCCATTTCATTATGATATATTTTAGACAGGCAGAAACTCAATTCACTCGCTCAGACTCCAGCTAAGTAAGTAAAACACAGTGACGATAGAGAGTGGTTAATAAATAATTCGCCTGAGGGCATCCAGTATAATATTTTCTGCAAACATAAGACTTTATTTTTCCCCTAACAGGGGGTCTTGACTCCAACGAAGAGATTCCGCCAAGGTTTATGGAGGTAATTAGATATCAACACTTGCATTTTACAGTTTGGTTTCGGCTCTGGGTCCTTCAGTAGTGAGCCAGTGCTGTCTGTGTGCCTGGCACCCATGCTTGCTCTCTGGAGCTCAGGAATGCAACAAAAGAGCAATAAACATTCAGCTTGTAGGGATTAGTATTTTGTAAGAATGTTAATAAGAGGAAAGTGGACAAGAAGAGCCACTCGGCACATAGATGAAGGCCTTTTACACACATGTCAGTTAGGCCTTGCTAGAAATGACAATGGATCTCATTCAGGAGGCCACAGTCTTTCCTTCCAAATTCATCTTTAAAATGAAAGTAGGACGTGGATCTCCAAGTAAGCAGGAATTACACTGTGGTTACAGTGAGAACAAAGGCGTCCCATGAAACGGCATCTGAGACAGCTTTACAGAGGGAGTGAGCAGCTGACACCTCCACACTGTCTCCCATTAAATACCAGCTCATTTAAACATATCCCGTGGTGCCCTCCACATCTGGTAAGCGATTGGGGCTGGCAGATTTATTTCTATGGCTTTCTCTCCTGCCTGCCCCCACGGCGGCCACCTTCACTGCTTTGCAGGGGCCACTCCCTTTCTTTCACAAACCTGGTGTGATTTGCAAAGATAAGCCTGGCCAGATTTTGTTACTGCCTAATTACTAGATGTTTCGTGTCTTTTCGCACAGGGGAGGATTATTACCCGAGTTTCCCTTTCATTGCAGCCGTCATAAATTTAAACTGGCAAGAGTAAATCTGTCTGCGGTGTGTCACTTACACCATAAGCCCCTGTGTTTGGGAGTGATAAAGGGTTCAAGCTAACCCTTGGCTGGTCTCACTCTTCAAAGTCCCAGGGGTTACATTTTATGGAAGTATGATTTAAAAAAAAATAAGCCGCATTCTGGGTCACCAAAACATTTCAGGACTTAAGGTGGAGAAGAAGAGGAAGAAAATAGTCCTTGGCACATTATTTTCTATTTATTTATTCCTAGCTACTTTACTGAGGAGGCAACTCCTCCTCCTCCCCCAGTCCCCAACATCAGGAACACTGGGAAGAGAAGTCTCCCTAACAAGCTGTAAATCTTGCCTTGACAGCCCAGAAAACCCTTTGTCTTTTCTCAGCACTTCTCTTAGAAACAGTTAGTTGTTTATCCAACTCCAGCACAAATATGTTGAAAACACCACGATGTTTTCAGATGTCTTTCTCGTCGATTGAATAGTCTAATGGCAATCAGAAAGAAACGCCATCTGATGTGTAAATTGAAATTCTAACCGAAAGAGGCATGGCCAGATTTCCAATACGCGCTAACTACAGTCCTTCCCTTTCTGCAATTACGCTGCTAATGTCTGCATTGAATTCCCTAATTTCTCATTATAAAACAATTGGATTTCATCTCGCGGCCTTTAACTGCATTGTTTCCCCTGCTAGAATAACTGCGCTTTCCTCTCGGTGAGACTTTGAAGTTGTTGAATTACAAATCAATAAAGGTCATGCCATTCAGATTTAATCAATTATTATTCCATCTCTGAGTGAAATCAATGGGGAGCCTAAGGTATAATTGTAAAATCACTCTATATTACTCTAGACAGTCCCCCCCACCAAACAATTCCCCATGACCACACATACAGAAAGATCTAGAAAAATTAATGAAGCCAGGTTGTGCACATTCATGTTTCTCATGAGTCTAGTCAAAGTCAGTATTTTTAAGACTGTGTGTGTGTGTGTGTGTGTGTGTGTGTGTGTGTGTGTGTGTGTGTGTGTGTGTGTGATGGTTTCTCCAGAGACCAGAAGAGGGTGTTGGATACTCTGTGGCTGGAGTCACAGGTGGCTATGAGTCACCTACCTAACGGCTGAGAACTGTACTTGCATTTTTCGTAAGTGCTGAGCCCTCTCTCCAGGCTCAAGTCAAGATTATTTTCAGTTGGAGCCTTGGAGAGAATTTTCAGAGATGGTGTAAACAAGGGGGCAAGTGGAAAATGTTAAATTAAATTCAAACCCACCTGTGGGACTCAGAAGAGACCACGATGACACGGGCAGGAGCTGAGCGACACAAAACATCCTGCAGGAGCTGGACAAGGTAGAAGTGTCCCAGGTGGTTCACCTGGAAGGTGGTCTCCAGGCCATCTTTCGTGAGGGTCCAGGGTAGAGCAAAAGTCCCCGCATTACACACAAGCACATGAAGAGACCTACACAATGAAACAGATAACATCAGACACAAACCGATGGTCTAAAACTAGGTGTCATCCACATCCATTCAGAAATAGCCTATTTCTTAGGGTTTTCAATATTCTATCCAGTGAGAGATGTGATATGCCAGGATGTCACATCACTCTGAATGGCCCATAAGCTCAGGGTGCAAGCAACAAGAATTTCCCAGGACACAAGACACCCATGCTAACCCAGAACTATAAGGTGGCTCACTGGAGTTGGAACACACAGTATCCAGTTAATTCTGGTTTTTAATACAAACAATTAGTTCCACTTTTATGTTCGATCAAAATAGCCACCCAGATACACACGGGGAGTCTGTTCATTTCCTTTCTTATAAAAAAGACACATGACAAGAAAGGCTGACACTGGGGCCTGATGTTTAGTAGATACTATATAAACCTATCAAGGGAAATATGTTATGTTTATAGAAACAGTCAGATACTTGAATATATCCCCCTTAGGGTTAGAGGCATAACTCAGTGGAATGTTTGCCCAGCACACACTTCGACTTGGGTTTCATCCTCAGTACCAAATAAACCAACCACGTATGTAACCCTAATACTCAGGAGATGGAGACAGAAAGATCAGGAGTTCAAGGTTATCTTCAACTACAACGTGAGTTCCAGGCTAGCCTTGGGTACATGAGACCCTGTCACATGCGTTCATGCCTGTGTGTGTGTGGGGGGGAGAGTGTGTGCAGACACATACACATATATATATGTATCTTCTTTTTATATTCAGATTAAATCTACCTGTTAGAAAAGAACATAGGCACAAGAAGAGATGTGCTATAAATGCAATTTTAGCAACAAAAGTAACCCTTCAATTTGATTGAAAGCCCAAATCCTAATAAATACATTTAATAGAAAAGAAATCCTAATGAACAGATACTACACAATGACAGATCTTCAAGGCTGTCTACTGTAGTTGTAATTGAAACATAAAAGCAACAAATTAAACTGGGGAAATTATCCTATGGAGTAGGCTGTATACAAATGGTATGAAACCCACAGCATAATAACAAGCAAATCCATTTTGTTTTAGAATCCATTATGCAGCAAAAATATACATTATAGGATCGTATACACCATCAGTGGGGTGGGAGGAATCTGAGCGATAGATGGGCAAACTGGGAAAAGCTAAGGATTGAGAACAACGTTAGGAAGCCAGGAGAATGATGAGGAGGCTCCTACAGCCACCAAGAAGCAGTCCATCAGTAGACACCTTGGCTTCAGACTTTTGGCTCGCAGAACCACGAGGGACTACGAATTTGTTGCTTTAAGTCACCCAGGTTGTGATAATCTATCTTAGGAAATCAACCATTTCCAAGACACTTACCCAAGGAAAGAGTCCAAGTGTGTACATACAGAGGAGTAATAATCACACAGATGAACAGAACTAGAAGTCACCTGTGCATGATACGCAATAGACTAGATGCATACACAACAGTGAATTGAGAGGCTCCCAGGCCTCCCCAGATGGACTGAAAAAGTAGGAGGCAAAGGTCAGCCTGGGACTATGTGTGTCACACAGCCATCTCCAAAAAGGGAGATGCCAAGGGAGGTGTGGTGGTTCACACCTGTTACCTCAACACTGAGAAGGCTGAGGCAGGTGGCAGCAGGGGCCACACAGTGAACTCTAGGCCAGCCTAGCATACAGAGTGCAATCTTGTCTCAAAAACAAAACAAAGCAAACAAACAAAAAACAAAACCAAGGACGCCGGGATGACTCAGTGGATAAAAACATTTGTCAGCAACTCAGATGACCTGAGTCTCATCCCCAGGACCCACATGGTGAAAAGACAGAACAGACTCCTGCAAGTTGTTCCACCTCCACACACCAGCCTTAACCCACACCCACTCACCCAATACAAACATACACATCCGAGAGAATACACACAAATAAATTAATATATGTGATAACATAAAATCAAAACAAAACCAAAAGCCAGGAAAATGGGATGACTCCCTGTGCAGTTACCAAGTAAGAAAATACAGAAAACATTAGTGCTGGGTATAGAGGAGATGGTCAGATTAGTTTTCTCCCTTTTAGGCATTTATTTTTCCACTTTTTTCTAAATCCTGAAATGCGATTCACATCTAGCATACTCTGAGTTGAGTACCCATCACCAGTTCTAACTACAGCAACTTTTAAGTATAATAGGAAACTCACTAGCTGTCACCAATTGCATGGCACCCACCCCCACACACAATGAATATACTTCCTACACTATAGACTTGTCTAACACGATCACCTCATGTAAGCAGGATGCTAGGTGGACTTTTATGACTATCTTCTTTGACCTGGCATGATGTTGAGGGTTTCCCGCTGCACCAAGAGTTGGTACTCCCTCCCTCCTAAGCCTGAGAATACTCTGCTGCATGCACAGACAGCATCTTGTTTGCCCGTTCTTCCTTTGACTGGCGTATGGATTGCTTGCAGTGTTGGGCTAATGTGGAAATAGCTGCTTCGGACACTGTTTGCCAGTTCTTCTGGAGAAGTGTCTGTTTATTTCTCTTGAGTAGGCACTTACAAATGGAATTGCTGGCTCAGAATAATGCTGTGTTTAACTTTTGAGGAAGAATCAAGCTGCTGCCCAAAGTGGGACACGCCACTCACATCTCACCAGCCATGCACTGCACATACCTGCGTCCTTATAGTGCTTTCACCTCCTGTCTCTTCTCTCCTTTCCTTTATCTTTTGAGATTATAATAAAATTATAACTTTTCCCCCTTTCCCCAAACCCTATCATATACCCCTCTTTGTTCCTTTTTGAGTTCATGGGTTCTTTCTCCATTATTGTTGTTACATACAAACATAGGCATGCATGCATATGTGAGCGTGCGCGTGCACACACACACACACACACACACACACACACACACCTTAAATATACAAATAGAACCACTTCAGTCTGAGTCTGTATGATGTTACTTGTATGTATGCTTTCAGGACTGACCATTTGGTATTGGATAACCAATCGGTGTGCTCTTCCTGGGGAAGACTAATTCTCCCAATCTCAACATTCCTTAGTTGCTTATAGTTCTCTGTATAGGGTTCAGGCATATGATCTTTCCCTCATCCATGTTAGTACATCTATTGCTGTTATCCTTGTTCAGCTCATGCCAGTAAGACTTGTATGGATGTAGCTCCTAGTTTCTCCCTTATTGTCTGGCTCTTATAATCTTTCTGTCCACAATGATCCCTGTGTCACACTAGCAAACACAAGTGATCATTTTATTGTGGTTTACATTTGCATTTCTCTCTTGGCTAATGACACCGAGAACATTTTTATATGTCCATTGTAACATGAAAAATAAAAGACCCAGAGACTGATATTGGGGTTCAAGCTTCAAGCTGAAGATCAGAGAAGCAAAACAGCCAAGTCAGTAGATCTTACATCTACCCAGCTGAAATGGCAATCCTGTCCTCACAAATCCTCAGAGGCAAAATGCTCTCAGATCCTGTCTCCTCCTCCTTATATTCCTTTCTCTGCTCAGCCATACCACCTCTATCTCCCCACCTCTCTGGTACTGGGATTAAAGGTATGTGATCACAAGTACTAAGATCACCTTTGTGTGAAATGTTTCTTTTAGGACTGGGTCAATTTTGTGTAGTATGTGTGACCTTGAACTAACAAAGATCTGTCTACCTCAAAATCCTGAGTCCTGGGATTAAAGGTGTGTATCTAGTTTCCATAGCTAATTACTATGGCTGCTTTGCTATTTTGATCTCCAGTGGCTTTAATAAATCATAAACATTATTATCACCACAGTTCATTGGTAGTTAGCGTATCTTCTTGGGAGAGATGTGTTTTCAGTTTCTATGTACACTTTGAAGCCAGCAGCTTTATCCTTTTACTGTTAAATTATTAAAGTTCTTTATATATGATGAATGAAACCCTATCAAGATACATAGTTTTCAAACATCCCTCCCATTCTATAGGCTGCCTTTATGTCTTCTTGATGGCTTCACTTGCAGCACAAAACATTACATTTTAGTGAATTCTCCATTATCCATTCTAATGTCACAATGAAATTGTGATTTTATGTTTCCTTCTGGGATATAGTCGTTTGGGTTTTTATATGTATCACTGATTCCCGTTCAGCTAATTTTGTATATGGTGCATGAAAGTGATTCAGCTTCATTCTTTTGTGATGGATACCCAGTGGTTATAGAACCATTTATAGAAAAACTATTATTTATCCCACTGAGTTACTCTGGCACCAGAGTTTTAAAAAAATCAATCAATCATGTTATGGTTTAATTCTGAAACCTCAATTCTATTCAGTTCTCTAATGTCCATGGTCACAACACCTTGTGCTTTTAATTACTAGGAAGTGGGAGGCTTCCCTCTGTGTTTCCATCCTTGGTTGGTCTTTTCAGTTTCTTTTTCATTTTCATATGAAGCTCAAGACTAAAATTCCAGTTTTGAAGGAAACAGAATGGACCCTGTAGATCGACCTGAGGGATACTGGTATCTACACAGCATCACATCTCTCAATCCATGAACATGGACTATTTAGGTATTCATTTGAGTGTTTTTTGATTTCTTCCAACAATGTTTTATACATTCAAATGTCTAAGCTTTTCACATTTTGTTAAATTTACTTGTAAGTTTCAAAACTGCTCCTCGATCTTCTTTCTGACGTTGCTGCAAGCAAAATGATTTTCTTCAGTTCCTTTTGGAGGTGTCATTGTCCCCATGGAGAAAAAAAACTCACTTCGGCATACTGAGCAGTCACCCTGCAATCCAGCTGAACTTGGCTGTGAGCTTTAATACTTCTCAACTTGAATTCTTAGAGATTTTATACATGCAAAATGATTTTATCTGCAAGGAGGGCAGTTTTATTGTTTCCTTTCCAATTTGGATGGGTTCTGGCTGCTAAAACCCCTGTTCATTTCTGGGTGTTAGTGAGAAAACATTTAAATTTTCAGTGTCAATATTAGTTGTTGGCTTTCTGTAGGAGCCATT